TGCAAGGACAGGTTTTAGGGCTGTTTTTAGGGCAGGTTGCATTTGAAGAGCAAGTTTCATCAGCACCATCTTCAGAAATGGATTCATCAGGCTCGTCTGCATTGAAAGAGTCATTTACAGCCTCCGGGTTATTTTCTTCGTCTGAATCATTTTTGTCGGGGTATTTAACTTCACGAACCATTTCCAGAAACTCCGCAATTTTCAGGTCCTTATCGAGATACGAATTGGTTAAAACAATAATTTCATCATCTTTTTTTTGTTGATCATTCCGTTTAGTGAATACCTCATCATTTCACACGGATTTAATTTTCAAAGACACTATATTCTGAGCGTAAAAAATTGTTGAGAGGCTTCGTAGACATTCGGATGATGATAGTAAAACTCCCCGCAAAGCTTGCTGTTAAAGCTTTCAACGCCATTTGTTGTCGTGCATCATGAAGCGATACTATGACCGCCCGGATTAAAACAAACTCCGGTTTTCGGGTGACACACGTAGCATCATTTCAGCGTTGCCAAATAGTGCAGTGTGCGCAAACGTTATCGGTAAAAAGTGTGCGCAAATGATATTCGTGAAAAGTGTGCGCAAACGTTATCGGTAAAAAAATTGTGCGCAATCGTTATACACCGTTTCATTTAGAAAATGAGCAACCATAACAACACCTCCTTCTCTCTCGATTTCTCATTTCCATACCGTCAATATAATTTTACATACCGACTAAAATATAACGCTTGGACCAAGTCACTGCTGCTTATTTTATGTGTGGGTGTACTACTGGACAAAAAAGGTGCGCGGACAAAATTCGTTGACAAAATGTCCTGAAACCTCGAGGGGTCATAAGTTCATTCAAAGGTAAATAGGTATAGTTAGTTACATCATCAATCGTTCACGTCGTCTAGGATGTCGGCATAAGAGCTCAGGAAGTTGTCAAACTTAAAGAGCTTTTCTAAGAGTTGTTGTAAAAGTTCTTATTCTTGTTGAATTACAGCCCACCAATACTTGAATATTGTATTTATAAAACAGGGGAAAATGAAGCTTATCGGCGGTGAGAGTGCAGTGATAACGCAATGGAGAATTTGCAGGTGTCTGAAATTTGATGAATTTTGTGTTTAAGTGGACATTACTGAGTGAACTGAACACGAGTGAACACACTGAATACATTTGGTTCATGAATTGAACAGTTATTGGAGAAGATAAGACGAAATAATCTAATCTGCTAAAATGCGTGTGTTGAAATGGGAATGCCGCCAGATGACATCACTAGGCGTCTCATTTTCTCACTTTTATATCTTTTTGTATACTATTTCCCGTATCAGAAAAAAATTAAAAAAATACTTTGAAATCAGCTCTTTACGCAATTTCAGATGAAGGAACAAAAAATTTGCATGCAAATTCTCCATTGGTCTAAATTAGAAGAAACTGATATACCTTCCCTGTTCAAATGATCCAGCGCAAGGGATTCACTTGCATCACAACCCGAGTGAAGCAAAAAAGAAAAGATATATCAATAAAAAGCCGAGAGAAAGGAATAAAAAAGGGTGAATCTCGATAACGCAAGAGTAGAGATACGTGTCATTTCAGCGAAATAGGGTGCATGTTACGCCGTTACGTTAAGGAGATAGTGTGAATGCGAGCAATAGGATAATGCTCTAGACAAATACTCTCGGCACCATTAAAGCACCACGGGGTGTGGACTTAAAGTTAAGTAATTCCAGGCCTAATTAATAAGGCTTTCGACTAGTGCAGAAGAGGAGTGCTGTAATTTCAGCCAGCGAATAAATTACAGACAACAGGAGGTGTCAGGTTTGCAAGGATATGGCGCCCGCGGGTTTGGTGCGCATCCAGTTTCAAAAATCCGAACCTACACCGAATGAAGGGCACCAATTTTCCGGTCCGGAAAGGTTCAAGCGCTTAATATGCGTTGCTGAACTGCACTCTCACTCGAGAGTAATTCAATTTCGCGTGCATTAGCCAAGTTGGATGTATCAGAATTAAAGAACCTTTTAAAGTAGCTCGACATTGTGACGTAGTATTCGCCTTAGATCAAAGCACGACAAAATTAAATTTTCAGAAATGAACGCAAATGCACAAAAAGTGAAATACAGAAAGTAAAAATGGAGCTAATATGACAAAATAAGCTTTTTGATATTGAAAAAAAAAATAATTAAAAATGAAAAAAATGACCAAATTTACGCAGGTGTTAATATTTGTATACATCTTTAGAAATGTAGATTTTCATAACATTATTCATGGTGCTATCAAACTACCCTTAAAGGCCTTTTTTTTTATCTTTTTGAAGTCTACTCCTTAACGTATGGCGTAATTTTCAATGGCGAAGCGTGAATAATAGTTATCAATACTTCCCCATTTGAAGATGTGGTGAAGAATCGATTACTAAGGTGTTCCCCTTGAAACCCTGCTTGTCGAACCTTTTCCATCGATTAAAGTGGCAGAGCAATCCACGCACGGGCGTGGCGTAATCCGTGGCGTAGCACGCCACGGCACTGGTAATTTTCCAACATTTCAATTAATTAGCTTTGCCAACTTGATTATCGTCAGCATTGAGTACTTTCGTTGATTTCCCCTCAATAGCTTGAAGAGAATTGGGAATTATTTGATATCTGGTTTCGCAATGAAGGAATGTTGGATAGGAAGATGCTTAATAAAATATTGGTGAGTGATAAGAAATTTCAGAGGAGAAATTCCATGAGAAAACATACCCCTCTCCCATCCAAAAACTTGTGCTGGAAACTTGAGATTTTACATCACTTCGTTACTATCAAAATAATTCTATACTTAGGGTTCCAATATACATAAAACGGGGCAGCTATTTTTGAATGATTATGGCAACGATTCTTGGATGTCACTCCAATATTGTAACAAGGAACTTTAGCTTCGACATTCATGAGATGAAACACCTTCCAGATTAAGTTGCATTATTTAATAAATCAATGCAGACAAATTCTTTGTATTCTTTTGCTATTTTATCAGATGAATAATTTATTTTTAGCGCCTTTGAGGAGACAACTTTCCACCACGAAAGATTATTTTTTTTCATCCCTCTAGAGTTTTTACAGCTTTTCACAGAATCTGCTTCGTTTGTCGGAGCTGTTTATTCAAGACAAGTTGAAAAGAACGAACGGAAAATGCATTCGATTTCTACCGCTAGTAAGTTTATCCTTTATGTAGCGACTCGTCGTTTGAGTCATTAACATAATTTAAAAGATGTCTCTCAAGTATTCTTGTCGACTTCTTCAAAGTTCCCTAAACTTTCTGAATGAACGAGCGTTGAAGGTGGCTTTTCGAAGTGTCCTCCAGTATTTAAGTATACGTGAATACAAATTTAAGTTAAGTAAACAAATTATTTCAGGTTGAATGCTCATTTGGTGAGCTAACGTCGCGTCGCTTCGCTGTGATCTCACTTTTGTCTCTTTTTATTTAAATTCGATATGATCGGGTAAGTGAAGTGGTCGTTGGTCTGTGCCTGCCGTTGCACGACTGAAATAATGAGCCTTTCTTTCATAAGATACGAGGCCAGTGTTATTTCCGATCATCTTGAACCTACATCATCATTTCATGATCACTTCTGATCATATTGGTGTTTGAACTTTTGAGTTTACATTCTAACTCAATTCAATAAAAACATGCATGTCCAAAAATCATCGTGCTTATAGTTGATCATTTTAACTTTTTTTATGTTACGATCACGAATTAGTATAGCCACTTGATACTTACACGATAATTATGATTTAAAAAGAATTTGCGTCCCTTACATAGTTATCGTCAGAACTCACAAGTGTAAACTCGATAGTACGGACTTTCCGCTTTTACTCCATATTCTTGAATGCAACCTCTCTCATACTACTTTATTATGCTTCATACCCTAATGGAAATTCCATAGGTTGTCCCAAAAGTAAGAGCTATGATGCTGCCAATTTCAAAAGTAAATGTGTTAAATATGCACACGGGCTTTCCATTTTAAATATCAAATTGACGTATTTCTGCCATACGGAACTATGTGCATGATACGTGAGCTCTGTTATGCATAAATCGTTATGGGTCTCAGGGCTCATGTCTTGATGCACATAGTTCCGTTTGGCAGATATACGTCCGAATCTGAAGCTATCAGTTGAAACTAAGATCATTTCATTCACTGATGAATAAATTAAATTATGCCAATATCTGAAACTGATGAAATCCTGCCACCTACGAGTTCTTCACAGAAATGCATTATCGGGTGAGTTTAAATCTTCGTTTCCGCTACTCTATAGACCTATCTGAGGGACAAGGAATATACATCAAAGTATTCTCAACTCTCTTCACTGCATTTTTTCATTAATAAATGTCTATTTCCTGGCACATCTTTCTGGAATTATTGTTCTTCTCAATTATCACTAAAAATCCCCTCGATAGTCAACTCGATTTTCTCCTTCTTTTTAGATTCTCGTTCCTATCAGATGTATCATGTAATTTTTAAATCAACAATGTATTCTCCAACAATTTTTTTCTTTTCTTTTAATTCAGTCGCAAAGAAATTCGAATTTAAAATTAAGTGCAAATACTGGAGCCCTAACCGAACGCACTGAGGAATCACAATTATTCTGCACCCTGCAATTGACGTAGGGATCGCCCGACTTAGTCTGATGTCCACGATATCGGCAGCCATTTTGCGACATCTGAAATCTCTGGAATCGACAAATTTGATAATTACTAGGAAAGATATCTGGACAAATATTGCTTTAAAAAAAATTTCAGACAAAACTCGTAGGCGGCAGTTTTCATCACTAATTGAGATTCAAAATCAGGTTCATGGCGCCATTAGTTTTGAAATTTCAGCATCAGTTCTACTTCTGGGACACCCTACATATAACGAACGGCAAATGTAAGTGTGATATTTCTCTCTGCCGTCATTAATTCAATCGAATGATGCTCCTCGATTCCGCGAATTTTCGAAGTGCGCACAATTGAAAATTGCACGCAATCCTGCCTACGCGGAACCTCTATATAACAGGGAAGCTTTTCGCGAATCGGTGCTCTCAGGCAAGTAACCAGAGCGGGGTAGGAAGTTGACACGAAGGGTGCAGGAGTTTTCGAGCCACCAGAAATCATGGATTTTCGTGTAGTTTTACTCATGGCAATATGCATTCAAGTAAGTCAATTCAACAATATTCTATTCGGTATGAGAACAGGACAAACGCTTTGAACTTACCAGGAAAAACAATAATGTGTTTAATAATTTTTGAGTGCAAGAAAACTACTTCTATTTAAAAAGATTTAAAAATATAGGAAACATAGTCTTAATCATGATGAAGACATAATTCCAAGTTGTTTCTCTTTGTTGCAATTTGCTAAATGAAAATGCCGGACACCTCTATACGTACTATTTTCGAGCACGAACATGCAAAACAAGAAGATCAACTTGTTGCAAAAAACTCTGCTGGATTTAATAAAACCTGGTTCTAAAAAATCAAAAATGGACTCATTAAGGAACTCGTCAAAAATTTAGTGGTGAAAAAGGCCTAGGGGTTTTATTAGTGATTATTTAAAATTCAATTTGAACAAAGCCCCTATGATTCCCGTCGAAAAAAAAATGAAACCTAATTGAAAAAATAAAATTTAATTTGCATGCAGGCACTTTTGGCCGCGCCACTAAGTTCATCCGACGATGAAGGATACAAAGAGGAACCAAAAGGGCCTTTAACGGAGGATCAAAAGGAGCGAATGGCAAAAAATCTGGAGAATCTGAAAAACTCAGGAGAAGAATTGAAGAAGCAGATGCAGAAACTCACCGATAAATATCCAGGTTCGATTTTATTACCATAATTATTTCCTACAGCTTTTACGGTTAAGTTTTGTTACGGTGATAGTTACTATTCATATTGTAACTAAGTATGCTAGCTGTAAATGAACTTAATGACTTTGACGCTCTAATCATCGGCACTGGAATACTGAAAGAAAATGTACGATGTATGCCCAAGACTTCTTTCATACGGAAAGTCTCAAGTCGTGTCAAATGCAGCCGCATTTAAATACATTAATTTTGATAGTTTTGGAAGTATATTATCTATTTTATTCCTTCGTTTTTAATGGAGAGTTATACTTTTGTTTAATTTTTACCTTTTTGGTAACATACTGGCAACGGTGTGGTCGATTTGACCCGTCTGGGGTAGTCGTCAAAATGAAATCTCCTGACACGACCGACTCCCACCAAAATACCAATTTTTAGACGTGACTCCTTAAGGAGCTTGTGACATCTCTAAACACCCCCCCCCAATAAAAAAATTATCATTAATTTGGAAACATCATAGTAACTATATGTTGAGCGAATTTTAACTTACCTCTTCTGGATGTCCATGTTGTAACTGCAAAATTGAATTAAGAAAATATTAAAATATTAAAGCCGCTCACTAGTCGGACATTTTTCTGTCCAAAACCGACGCATTTTGGCCTACACCGGCTATCATCTCCATGCAATCCATTGCTCAATGCAATGCAAATCAGTGCAAACTTAGACGTATTTCTGCCGAACGGAGCTATGTGCATTATGACGTGAGCCCTGTTATGCATATATTCTTATGGGCTTCAGGGCTCATGTCTTAATGCTCTATGCTGCTAGTAAAGTGTAGCTCAGAATCAGGAGGAAAATTAAATTAGGAGGTCGGATTACGTATTTCATATTATTGGCTGAGTTGATCACGTAGCCTCTGAAGCACCACTAAAAATGAGACCAACGGAACCAACACAACATGGAATTAGGGAAAAGGAAAGGACGTGTGTAGACAACGGCGCAGAGATACATCTATTCATGCTTAATGAATGTCCATGTTGCATCTACAAAATTGAAGGCGCAATGAGGGTGATGAGTGATTTCGCAACGCTCTCCGCCTTATGCCGCTCTCAGATTTGGCATTTATGTTAAAGAACGAGGCCTGATTACGTCTTTCCCATCTTCAAATGTGTTGCTCATGCAGCCAGCAGCCAGCCAGCCTTTGAAGCACCTCTATAAACAAGACAAACGGGACCAACACAACATGGGAGTAGAGCAAGGGAAAAGACGCTCATTAATGACGGCGCAGAGATACAACTATTCGTGCTTGATGGATGCCCGTGTTGCGTATCTGCAAAATTGAAGGCGCGATGCTCGCAATACTCCGCTCTGTCCTGCCAATAAGATGTCAACAAGATGTCCGATTCAAGAGAAAAATTTAAAAAAAAACTAGTCCTGATTACATCCCTCTTATCTTCGGCTGTGTTGATACTAGATTTGTTTTATTTTTTTTCTTCCATTTGATGGCTAATTCTTTTTTTTTTTTTGGGGGGGGGGGTTATTTGTAGACCTCTATCTTGAGCTGGTATGTACCGGCACCGTAACTCTTCTAGAAAAAGTAGCAGTTCGAACCAGCTTGGAATTACTCGGGATAGTTGTCAAAAAAAAACCCCTGACACTCGATTTTTCCATTCTTTTTATTTGACGTCTGATAATTTTCGTACGCACCGGCCCCATACAACACGCGAGCTACGTGTTTTTAGCATAACTCGAATCGATTTGACCCGAGTGCATGAAGCCGGTTAAAATGGGTCCAGGTCGGCAATCGAATGTATGAAAGCACATTGCAGATGTTACAGTGTTGCTGCCTCATGGTTGTCCATAGGGAAATGCTGAATCCCCGAAAGTAAAATTTTTCACCTTTCGCCAAGAGGTTTGTGGAGGATCTTGCTTTGTTCCTGGCTCAATTACTTCGTTTTCTTTCTAGGTTTGGATAAAATGACTGACGCCCTGGTTGACGCGGTATACAAGGAGGTGGCAGGATTCACGGACTTCAACATCAAGCGCCGGGCCGACCCGAATAACAAATCTCCGTTCACGCGGTATCGAAAATCTTTTGACAGCCTGAAGGATCTTCATTATGGATTTTTGGACACCTTGCGCGATACTTTTGGTCAGAAGGCACCTCAAGCTAAGACCCCATCAGCCTCCCCTCATCCCGCGAGACGCAGCAGTTGTCAAAGTCGAACTCGCAGGACTCCTCCAAGATTCCGCACAACATACCCATCTGGACCCCGTGAATAGTTGGACCTCAAGAGAAAAAGCCGGAAAATTGGACCCTTTGTTTACAGTTACGAGTAGTTCACTTACAGTTTTCAATTAATGCTGACTGTAATCTTCAGAAATAAATTACATCAAGAGTATCATGCAATAATGTCAGTCTTTCTTATAAAAATCTTCAGTTCTGCACAGGGGGTGTCCATAAATTGTGTAACGCTCTAAGGTGTGGGTTTTTACAAATTCTTGACCAAGTTTGACAAGGGGTGGACTGTGCCATGCTCAGCGTAAAAATAGGGTCAAGCCAAGAACATAACATTTCGGATGCCTGGAAATTTCAATATCAAATAGGAACCTCCTTTGCACACTCAACCACAACGTATCAATTCAGTATCTGTGCATATATTGGTTTTCTCAGCTTCCGCATAAAATCGATAACTAATTACGTTGAGGTGAACTCTTTGATAGATTTGACAGAGTAATCTTTTCGGCTTCGATTGAGCTTTCAAAGAAACTTGGCATAATCGGTGATGCCAATATGTTTTTGTAGAATAGATCGGCAAATAGGGTGAAAATGAAATTTCCTTGAGGCAATGTTAAATTTCCATGAGCAATGTTCCTTTTACATGTTAAAATTTTACGCAGAGTACATTCAGAATATCAAAACCCACCAACATTTTTACCTACGTACATTTATAAAAGTAACATTTAAATTTTCCATAAAAGTCAGTGAATTCAGAAGCTTCTCAGAGAAATCAATTATTTGCCCGTTATCTATTAATTATCTATTCGATGAATCATCGGTAACAAGAAAAATAAAATTTCCTTCAATTCATAAAACTTGCGAACCCATCAAGAATGATCTCAGCGTACAAAAAAAATTACATTCCATCGCAAAGCTTACAGAGGATAGTTTCATGCTCAATTTGACTCAAATAGACTTAAATTCTCTTGCGTAAGCTTTGATTTCATGCAAAGTAAAAACGTTATCCTCTTACGTATGGATTCAATTTTCAATTTGTGTCTACATCAAATTTTGAGTTTGCTACTTGGTCCCAAATTCCGCACCCTTTCCTGTGTGCTCAACGCGAAGTAACTATTCTTATACACAAGAAAAAACAAAAAAACAGACAAGTAAACAAACAAACAAACAAACAAACAAACAAACAAACAAACAAACAAACAAATAAACGAACCAAGAAATGATGCAAACGTGAGTTCTACTTTTCCTTCATTTTCTCTAGTGCATTTCGGAGGTAGATATTTTTTTCAAACGAGCAATCTTGAAACCCTGTTAAAAGCACAGTGTGCGGAAGCAAAGCCGATGGGTTGCGGAGCATTTGCCTTCAACCGAAGTAATTTTTAATTAAAATGCCGATGCTGCCTCTGGGTCAACACATCTTCCCCGCAAATGTTTATCTCGATTTTGCGATTCCATCATCGCGATGAACCTTATCTGACCCAGCTAAATATTCTTATTTTTCCCTGAGTAAATATTTTTCTTGCCGCGGTTTTCCTTTTTGTTTCTCTTTCAGTGCTCCCACAAGATGTTGCCTTTCGCAACTTTCAAATGACTCGCTGGAGAATTTCCTTCCCTCGGATGATCACGTTCTGATATTAAAAATTCTAAATACTTCGTTCCGAGCAGTCATTGAAATTTTGCGACGTCCTTCCACTGTTTGAGAGAAACGGAAAAAAGCGCCTTGGAAAATAGCTGCTTTGTTTGCAAAATAAGATATTCGCTTCAAGACATTGCGGCAAACTGTTTTTGATAAAGACACTGGAAAAAATTATTTTCTAAAAACTCGTGCAAATCAGTTTTTCTCGCTACTATTTTCAAGTATTATCATAAAGTAAAATATGTAATGTTGTTTGAATGAGGAACATAAGAACATGAAATTGTCGAGTGCATACGGGAGAACATGAGGTTGACGTGAGGAACAGAATTTGTACGTCAGGTCAGTCGGCGAACGACGATTTTACCCCATCGGTCCAATTCTATATTTGTGAGCAATCGACGACTATTGACTGCACTATCCCTACAGAATCTCACCCTCCTATAAAACAAAGATAAGCAACCCTGACAAATTTCATAGAGTAATTAATGATCACATTAGTCTGAAAATCCTTTTTTAAGAGAGATAGATCGATTTTTTGACGCAACCTTTAAGTTTCATCCTCTCTGTAAACGCTTTTACTCTGAAGTATAGCTGTATTTCAGTTTGGAAGTTTTTTCACCGGATATACATACTAATTATTTTTTTTTCATTTCATCAGAATTACTTAAAAAAATCCTACATATGCCTCTTTATCTGCCTCCTAACAATGACTGTTCATTTGAAACTGGTGTCTAAAATGACGATATTAGCCTTTCTCGCAGCTTTTGATCGTTTTATAGGTCGCCCTGACTTCTACGTGATATGTACTCAGATTGTGGGTCAAACCACATAAGAAATATCTGAATGATATTTCTAGATTCTACTGCAAGCTTGAACTATTACATTTACTTTAAGCTTGACTCGTGGCGCCATGCTACAAAAAGTGATGCATTTTGCCACAGATTACATAACACATTTACACGTGCTGTCTGGCTAAATGAAACAAGAAAAATTAGTGTGGCAAAATTCGACAATTTTTGTTGCAGTTAGCCATGACAAATATTTTCGCGGAAGTTGGTCGCTAGGCCATTTCAGAAACTATGGCTAACTGCGCAATAATTTTTATTGCATTTTGCCACACTAATTTTCCTGGTTTAATTTAGCTATGACATCCGTAATCTGTAACAAAATGCAATCTTTTTTGTTGTGTGGTGCCATGAGCCGAGGCTAAATGAACATTTATCGCCAGAACATCAAAAATAAATTCAGGCTTACTGCTTAAAAAAAGGAATTCCTTGGAATTTCCTTCCTGTCCAAGCTTTTATATGTTAGAAATTCAGTTCGTTCCAATCTATTCGAGCGATTTCAATCTATTAACGCGATGGGGCTTTCTCGTGGGGTGTCCCGCAATGCTCGGAGGATAGACACGTAGAATGAAGCGCCTTCAAACTTGTGCAGCGGCAACTTCTTGTACACGTGCATCCTGAATGTTTTATCCAAGGCGAAATTAGTTTACACTCTTTTAGGAACTCGCTCGATTTAACAAATTCATTCTGCCGTTTCATTTATCTATTTTATGGAATTAATCTTAAACAGATCAATAATCGACGACGTGAGATCCAATGCTACATTTTGTTTCAGTATTGTGAGTTTAGTGTAGCCTCTCACATTAACTTACTGTGACTTTAGACATAGGAGGGGGACATTCCACACTAAATGAGGAAAGAGTTTTTTACCCTACATTTATTCATTATTGCAAAAACATAACCACCAAATACCAATTACTGCGCAATTTTTTTCATTTTTTACCGTTCACATCTTGCGGTTTACTTTCTTATTACATATCCTCCATATCCACGTGATTTGTGTTATTTATAAGATTAAACATTTTCTAATTGAGGAAACTAGCCTATCAAATTATATGTATCTCGTATTGACCTCTTACAATAATGTTTCATGCAAAGGCTATGACACTGGTCTGTTTCATAATGAAGAATAGGCAAATCAAGTAAAATTAACAAAAAAAAAAAAAATTAACACGCACACAAGTATACTTGTATGCACACCGGTAATTGTTTAGCAACATTTTTCTAGGATATCCGAACTTGATTACATGTTTCGGCCTTCGGTTATGGTTTGAGTGCTTATTCCATGATCGGAAGATACCGTGTTCGAATCAACGGGCAACAATGGATGAAAATTTCAAAATGGACCAATTTCTTAAAAATCAGCATAAAGCCGATGACGTGCCTTAACTTTTTGGACCAAGATCATTTCTTTACGACGAACTTCACAGGATATTTCAAGTTAAAGGTTTAACTTTGATCCCCTTCCTCTCTCCCTTATCGTCCGGTGTCAAACATTGTCAGTGGTTTGAACTCTGGCAGTGACCTTCTATCAACTCCGAAAAAAATGTCGAAAATTTCCTCGCTTGGCTAACATAAGGGCGTAACCACACATTGAAATGAACCCAAAAAAACATAAAAATGTAAGGAGGACAGGGTCCATTGCAAAGTGTAGTTACGCCCTTATGTCAGGTAGGCGACGATTTGACCGAGGTTCAAAATGACCGATTTTGAATAAGGTCCTTTGGGTATTCAGTGTGTGCAAAACTTGGAAATTGCAATAGTATAAAAAGATGGCAGAAAAATCAGAACTCTCGACCGGTGTATACAATCAGTCAAAAGCACCCCTAGTCGGTCAAATCCATCTAAGGGGCAAAATCACCTTTTCCATCTTCGCTGAGACAAGTCGTCGCGTCTCGTCGCCTCTCTCGCGGCTGTCACTTCTCTCGGAACAACGCACAGTATCTCAAAGATGCGCAAGATGTTCGTCGATGAATTGGCGACCGAGGGCAGTAAAAATGCATCTTATCGACCTCATCAACCGTGGATCTTGAGAGGGAAGCAGGAATTATTATGCACACGGATGATGGAAAAGGCGACAGCGCCTCAGAGCGGTAGTGCGAACCCCTGTTCGTGAGATTTGCGCGGATAGTAACGGTCGTTGCTGAGAACGTGGAACGTGTGTTAACGTCTATTACGACCATCGTTGCCTCTTTCATGTGAAAAAATGATCCTTTGAATCTCTTACACTCCTACGAAATGAAGTGTAGAAATTCAAGTTCTGGTGGGCACCATCATCAGGAGTTCGGGGATTTATCTTTGTGAAATAACCTAAATGCATTTTTTTCATGGATTTTATTTTGGGAAACCCTTTAATTTTAGTGTTATTTTTAAGATAAGAATTGTTTTTTCGGGACACGGGATTTCCGTTAAATGAAGAAAACAGTTAAACAAGGCTAAAAAAAACGGGATTTCTTTGTTGTTAAACAACAAAGACGTTTCAGTAGGAAACACCACAGCCTTCTTCATTTGGATAAAATACATATGAAAAAATTTAAAACCTAGTATTAAGTTTTAAATTTTTAAATTTTTTTATGTTTTAAGCGGCTGAAAAAGGCTGTGGTGTTTCCAGGCGAACCATCTTGGTGAATATGTTTCTCTAGCTTAATTAACCGCAGTTGTATTTTTTACAAAATTATGTCTTGTCAAGGGCTGCTAAGTTTTCGACGTATATTTTATCCAAATAGTCCACTAGTCGGATGGAACCTACGTCACTCATTACCCCTCCCTCCCTTCCTCTTTCATCGCAAAGTTGAGTAACAGCGAACACGCTCCGTGAATAAAGCTCACCCCACGGGTTGTAAGACACATATCGTTTCCACGAACAATAAAAGAGCTGAAAGGAAACGATTCAATTAGGAGTGGAGAAATTAAAGCTTTCGAATAAAATTTACGAGCCATTGCGTCGGAGAGGGGAAACTGACAAAACCGAGCACGATTATGCACACGAGGAGTCTAATTTGTCCTATCTCAATTGCTGGTTGCGAATCATAATTGGAGCTGAAAATCATAGATGTAAAATATTAATACCGCCCGCCCTCGCTGTCGCGAACCTGTGGTCAGTTTCGTCAGGTCTGAAAGGTATCGTGAGTCGTTTCGTATAATAGCACTGTGTTGGAAGTTTAAGCGCATGGTAGCCACATCAAGCCATAAAAATCCTGATACCTTGTGGAATATGAGTACTTTTCGCTGTCGTATCGACAAGCCCGTTCAAACTCCTATTTCGCCTCAAATGTTCCTTATTCCCCGTCGGAGTGTTTAATGTTTGTCCCGTTTTTAACATGCTCTCATTTGAGCTGTGGCCCGTAAATCACGAATTGACGCGGTCATTTTTTTGCGCTTATGAGTGGGGCGTACCTATTTTTAGGAGCGCTTCGTTTCTTACTTTTGCAGTAACGTGTCGAAATTCACGGTCGAAAATTTTAGGATCCTACTAAACTTTTTTTTCGCAACACACTCTGATGCATGTCAATTATGCGTTAGGAGCCCTCTGTAAATTACGTGACGCTCCGAGGAGGAAGGGTCTTTGCCAGCGGTACGCGGCGTTACAGGGGGGTGGGAGTGCAGAGCGAAGCGTAACATAACAAGTTTAAGTGATTTTTGTTTTCGAGTTTCTGTCGAATTTCTCGCTGGTTGGCTTTGGAAGTTTTGAACAATCTCGAAAATACTCTGTGCAATACTCCTACTTTTCCTTACTGTATAGAAACGCCAATCCGTTCAGTAAATATGAGGTGCGATCGTTAGGAAAAAATTGATCGGAGACCGGGCAAGCGCTACGTAATTTTTTAGGGAAGGTTTAGTACAGCGTTACGGAGCGTTACAGAGGGTGGTAGGTGTCAAAACCGCAAAGTTAGCGTTGCGTTATTTAGGAACAACCCCTTACGACACTGGATTTTCAGCATCTTAGGCTAACAATGTCTTTACAGAAAATATGCAGGGTGAAAGGAGCAAATTTATTCAGCTTTGGCTTCAATAGGCCATTTAATGAATATACAACTTGAGTTATCGTATTATCTTAACTTAATAGAGAAAAAGACCGACGTAAAAAAGAAAATAGTTTTATTTACAAGTATTTTTATCTGTTAAAGTCGTATAAAAATAAATGGAAGAGAGTATTGAGTAGAATTATTTTAAGTCACGCACATTTAGGTGTCATTACAAGTATATGTTATCAAACGGCGGTACTTTTCGTTTAAAACTTTACTTTTTTTTAGAACTTTTTACAACTGTACACATTTCATAACAGCTAATTGGTAATGATGTCAATACAAGGAAGCCTGTTTATTCGCTTGGTATAATTTAATGATGCCTAATACCTAATACTAATATACGAAGAGCAGTCTAAAGTAGAACGAATTGACTGTGCCTGTGCCCACGCACAACGTGTCCTAAAGAGTGAAAGCTCGTCCCAGCAATCATAAAAGTTTTACAAGTTTTTACATCAGCAGCCTCTTGTTTTTAGTCCCTTTGTAAGTTATGTGGCACTATATTTATTTAAATGTATTTATATCAGTTCCCATTCTAAAATTAAAGGGTAAAAAATGCAGACAAGAATATTTTTAAGGATGAATATTTCTTTTAAGAGTCGCTTTTGAAATTTCTTCGGAAACGTATTGGAGCCACTTCCTTACATGTAAACAAAAATCAGACACCGTCATGATGAGCACCCATTTATTATAGGCAGTGAGGCGACGTATCATTCTGAAGAGAAATGGTTACACTCAAACATGAGAGGGGGAGGGCATGAGAGCGATGGGATACCTACAGACAGGAAAGGAATCCGAGGATCTTTTTCTGTAAAATACTTGAAAATCAGACTCCTACAAAATTGAACTCAGTGCATTTGCTGAGATCCTAAATGAGGGAAGAGATTGGCCCCCTGATCGGTAAAAGTGTTTCGTCCTGTTTTAGCTAGAGTCCCTTTATACTATACTGAGAGTCAAGACAACACCCCCTCATGGAGTCACAAACGGGAATAAAGCTTTGATTGGCTCGTTCTCATATTCATTCTTCGTTCCTTCTCTCATTCCGTTTGTTCCTTGCCAAACCCGTTATTCCCCGGTCCATTCTACATTATAATCTTTGCAATCGGTGAAAATGTAATCTTCATTCCCGTTTGTGACACTGTGGAGGCCTAAAATACGGGAACCAATCAGAAATGGATTCATATTGTCTTGACTCTCAATATGAAGGGACCCTAGTTTTAGCCACGACTCATGAATTATTCTTTCAGTGTCTCACTTTTTATCAGTCTGCTCTTGAGGTTTAGGCGTTGGACTCGAGATCCTTCGTATATCCAAGAGGAAACCTTTGCTCTCAGATTGGGAACTCTTCTCTGTGACGACGGAGAAGCTCCTTTTAATAGGCGTTTCTTCTTCTCCTGAAGACTCTGCTGGATAGTCGCGAGCTCCCGGTGTATTTTGGAGAGTTCTTTCACTCACTGCAACAGGGTAACTTCTTTTAGCGCCTCCGGTGAAACCGGAAGCCAGCGATGCTGAGACGGACTTGACTATCGACACCTCCTGACTCCCACTGGCTTCTTGGTAGTCCGCGGGTTGGCTTGCAGGCTTCGCTGCCGGTGGTACGATGTAGTCAGGACTCCCTGCAACAGACACACACAAAAATGAGAAAGTTTCTATCGATTAATAGGAGCAATGAAGGTGATAGAACATTTTGTCAACGATTTTTTGTCCGCGCACCTGTTTTTTCCAGTAATTTACGTCCACGCGTTTTTTCGGCACGGGAATTTTGGTCCACGTGCCAGTTGAGACCCAAAGTTAATTGACCCACATGTAAATACAAACGACAATTGCTCACGACGTTTTTGGATGAAAATGTATAATTTTTTGAAGAATGAGGGTTTGCTTGTTTTTTTGCTTTGTCTGTTTGGTCCAACGGAGAATAATATGAAGTTGAGAGTTTTGGTAAAAATGAGGGAGCGTCAATTCCATGAGACAAAATTCACTAAAACTCTCTACACCTCTTTGCTGTAACAGGACTTAATTATCTTTCAAGAAATTCCCACCTTGTTATACGTGAACCGAATAAACCTCTATATTTGCCTCATGCAGCTAAAGGCTCTTAGATTTTTCCTGTGTACGATAAGTATCTTGATTTATTTTGCTAGGAAAGATCTGTACTTTTAAAAGATGCTTGTCATTCTTAATACGTTCAATTTCGTATAATTCTGTGCAACACCTCTGTTGGAGAATAGTTGCTTCAGGCGCCGCCGCACGGCGGGCGGGCGGCCAGCGCGAAACGCGCATTGGCGCCTACAAACCTAAGTGGATACTTCAAGCATTGTGCAATGCGTGGAGTATCCACTTAGGTTTGTAGGCGCCAGTGAGCCTCTCGCGCTGGCAGCACGCCGCTCCGCTCTGTTAGGCTTTAATATTTATACTCGCATTGTCAGCGTTTTTTAACACATGATTTTGAAATGTTTGCACACTTTGCATTGATTATTCTCATTTAAATTGATGGGGAAAAAATATGTATCAATTTATCAAAGGAGAATAATAACATAATGTGTGTTTTTTAAATATTGGTGGTGTCAAATTCAACGATTTCCAGAGCACTTCAATTTTTTCTATGTTACTTACATCAACTAATTATCCCGTTTTTTGTGTACCTTCGTCTCAATGATGATGCATGCACGTTAAGAAATTAATACTCCTATTAATTCTACTGTGACTGAAAATTTGGAAATCATAGTGGGCAGTGTAGCGCCGAATTTTGCCATTCAGTTCATTCTCTTGACAGTGTTTTACAGTATGTTAGTAACATAAAATCGTAGCGGAAAAAGAAATATCAAAATTTTGCTCGTGTGTAAGATTTAAGCAGTATGTAATAATCATTTATATGCGACTCGTGCAGCTAATCTCATAACATTTAATACTTAGCAAACGCGAAATATGATAGATAAATATCATTACAGCAAAATATGTATTAAAAATGTTAACATGGTAGATTAATGAGCACACAAAGATTAAATTATGATTATAAGACCATTAGATACTCTCTGGAGAGCGGCAGCGTGATTGTTGACATTGGTGGACAAAGCGATAGACAAAGGAGACAAAAGCAATATGGAGGGATCCTAGTGGTGGAAGCGGGTGATTGCATTAGACAAAGAAGGTAGGTAATTAACGGCAACCCACGAGAGACCATTCAGGTCGTCCATAATGTTCTCCTTTAGTTTACAGGAACCACTCATTTCAACCAATAGGATCTCTCCATACTCCCTATGTCCTCTTCGTCTATGGCTTTGTCCATCAATTTCAACAATCGACCCGCAGGGAATTCTCTTTTAAAACGGTATTAACAGCTGTTGCCTGATGATGCTAATACAATAATTAAAGTTTTTAAGACATAGGGACTGTACCTGAGTCTTCATGCGGCTCGGAGTTGGGTTGAATCTTAACCCGCTCCTCAGGCACCGGTTTCAGATCGGGCGAAACTTTCCTAAAGCTCAGCTCGGAGGGTAGTTGCCTGTAGACGGTAGTCGGGGCCGCTGTGGTGTAGGCGCTCTGTTCATACGAGGCTGCAGGCGTCGTTTGGTAATCGTAATGAGCCGGTGTAGAGATGTAGCCCGGCTTGGGACTAGCGTGATCCACCACTGGAACCACGTACTTCGGTTGGTAATAAACATTGATATTCTGCGGAACTTTCGGCGCTGTCACCTCTGTGTGGTGCTGTTGATGGAGCTGCTGCTGGTGTATCTGTTGGTGCAGCTGCTGTTGGTGCAGTTGTTCTTGGCGTAACTGTTGCTCATGCAGCTGCTCGTGCTCTTGGCGTAGCTGTTGCTCGTGGAGCTGCTGGTGGTCTTGACGTATCTGCTGCTTGTGGAGCTGTTGTTTCTCCTGGCGCAACCGCTGCTCAGTGAGTTGTTGTTGCTCGTGGCGCAGCTGCTGTTCGTGCAGTTGCTGTTGTTCCTGCTGACGGAGCCTCTGTTCGTGGAGCTGCTGTTGCTCTTGTTGGCGCAGTCTCTGCTCGTGTAAATGTTGTCGGTCATCGTGTTGTTCTTGTGGCTGTTCTTTGGACTGATACTCGGAGTACACTTGCCTGTCGTAGTCGTAATTCGGTTGCGTCACCGAGTAGACAGGGTACACCGCGATGGGAACCGTCTGGGTGACGCGTTCAGGGTTCGGGTACGCCGGTTCCTCAGCCGCGATGTCATTCTGCACCTGGTGGTTCACTTCATTCCTGGTGGCGACCTCGGGGACTTTGGGATGGATAGAGCCGCGGTAAGGGAACCTATATCCATTTCGGAAGGGGTCCTCCGGGGTGCGGACCTCGGGTTGGTGGTTGACTTCTTCGACCGAGTTCTGGTAGTCCGGAGCCTGGGTGCCGAAGTTGTTCTCGTAGTAGTCGAGGCTGTAGTTGTCCACCTGCGGGTACTCCTCGGAGGACTCGGGGATTTTGTTGAGGGTCTGCATCTGGGACTCGTGGGTGTGGTGGGCTTGCGGCGCCGGCGGTGGGGTCGTCGTCGGCTGCAGGAAGATGGACTTGAACGGCTTGAAGCCTTTGAAGGCGATGGGGGAGAAGGCGAAGTCCGGGTCGTGGAACTTGTCGAAGTTGAATTGGGGCTTTTTCGTTGGTTTCTTCTCGGGGGCCTCGCTGGAGAGGGGGTCGCCCTCGTAGCGGACGTCGGCGCGGTATCCGTTGTTATCGGCCGTGTAGCTCACGATCTGGACGCGCCCGTCGGGCAGCTTCACCCGGTACTCGCCCTTCGTTGCCAGCCCGTTGTGCGCCTGGGAGTGCGAGAAGTCGTCGCCGGAGTTTTTGTCCTTCACAGCGTACGAGAATGCGTAGTTCTTGGGGACCTGCAACAAAATGGTACATGGTTAGTGACAACGAAGAAGGCACCATCAAATGGACCGCACTGGGAAAAAAAACACATTGGATCTAGAGTCCAGACTCTTAAAAACATCGACAAGAAAAAATACGCTTGATTCAATCGGATTTAAGTTTAAATCAAGAACCAAGCCTCTTAATTTGAGCAGATTTCTTTTTGATTTAAGCTTAAATCTGATTGAATCAAGAGTCCTTTTTCTTCTCAATGTTTTCAAGAGTCTGAACTCTAGATCTAATGTGTTTTTTTTTCCAGTGCGCGTTAAACAGAAAGGAATCAATCCACGTCAGCTATTGCCAAATTTCCCTGGGCAATTTAATTTTTTACGAGGGAACGTTCGTGCGGATTCCTTTGAAAATTTTATGGAAGTTGCTTTGTACGATGTAGAAAATTCACTGAAATTTGCACAAAAATCCGCACAACCGTTTTCATATAAAGAATAAATTCTTCGATTAAATTTGGCAATAGCTGATGTGGCTTGGTTCCTTTCTGCCTAACGCAGTCGAAATTACCATTGACGTTTTCATGCACGCGAAAAAGACACTCCTTCTATTTCAGAGTGATTTATTATTTTTACATTCTGGCTTGTCTATTAATTATCAAACATTAGGACTTGAGTAGAAATATTAAAATTCGCACGGTCATAGTTTGACGTACGTAGTCAACTACGAAGGAAGATTTTTAGACAAAACGTAAAAATTCTAAAATAAAACACTATAGGCCACGCTTGGCGGCCATAGGCTCCCTAAAAACGGTCCCTGTAAAGCTACAGTTTTTATGAAAAGTTTCCGTGACTTTTCCTAAATGATCTCAAATAAAAGCATTGAAAATTTTGACGCCATAATTTCGTTCGTTCTCTTTCCTTTGTATGTAAAAATAAAAATAAAAAAAATAAAATAAAATAAAAAAATAAAAAAAAAAAATAATTATCATCCGAGTTTCTGAATCGTTACAATAAAGATATATATTTTCTCTTTAACTATGCTGAAAACTTCGTTGGCTCGTGTTGGACACTGGTCAGATATTGTGTCCACCGCACCGCAGGAGATGGGTCTCGCATTACAATTACAATGATGAAAACGCGCACCGTGCTATACTCACAATGCGTGAAGTATGCTTACAGTCTTATCAGCCCTAATATGAGTTTTACTTCAACTGATCAACTGCAGTGCGTTTGGCGCAATGCGAAAAGTATCCATGCAGTCTTGTAGGCGCTAATGTGCCGTTGGTGCCGACCGTACTGTTTTGCGCAATGCGTGAAGTATTCCTACAGTCTTGCAGGCGCCACTATGCGTTGAGAGCCGGCCGCGCTGAGTTCGGCGCGATTATTCGAACTCGCGGGATTATCTCACAATGTAATTGATCTCCGGCTTTCTTATCCTCGGCAGATTCTCTAATGTTTTTCAAAATGCGGCCCTTCAGAAATAATCTGCTGCATCAAAATCGCAATAACGAAGATGTATCCCTTTCTCTCATTAGCTCATCCTCTTTTCTTCTCTCTCCTCAGTTTTTTCTCCCTGCCAATTTCTAAATTCAATGATTAGATGAAGTATTCCCGCGATTTTTCTTGTTTATAATCTGCACCCAGGCATATTAAATGTTCAGTCGATAGGCATGAAATCTGCCGAGGTAATTTTGGTCAAATTGCTCCAAAAATATGTTTACGAAGTGACCTCTTGTGATGAGCATGCATGATGTAATCTTGTTTCAACTAACTTGTTTCAATCTTGATAATCATTCATTCACAACATGTTCATCACAAGTGTTTAAAATCGCATGCAACACAAACTATGTTCAAATGTTCTATGTTAAAAATGTCAACTGCGGCATTTGTTGCGTCAACAAGAAACGAGAGAGCAAAATCACGCACCATGGATTTCGGTTTAAAAATGTAGTTCAAATTAAAATGGAAGAAGCTTATTTTAGAGTCAGATTAAAGCTATCCGCGAACTTTAATGATGAAGCTCAAGTATGCTTACCCGTCTCTTAAGTAGGAATTTCTTCCAAAATATAATTCTCCTGCTGAGACGCTCTGTTTCATTTATTATTTGAATTTTCCCCCACCCCCACTTCAATTCATGTACCTTATTTCTCGGTCGAGCGCATTCCCTTCAACATTCACGACCCCCTCGCCCGCCCTCGTAAAGCCGAGGGCGCTGTCGCCACATAGTGCATATTTTCCTCGAGAAAACGGATATAAAATAGACATATTTTTAAATACAGTTTGGCAGCTTTAAATGTAGCATGGTTGCCAAATGATGAATAAAAATCGCAGTTCTTCTTGTTGAGCGTAAGCGGATTTTTAAAGCGATCGGGCAAAGGTTGCGCGGCTCTTCTCTCGGCGGAATCGACGTCTGCGGCTGATCCAGATGCGTCCCGAATCTGAATCCTACCTCATTATTGCGATTATTCAGGCGCACAAAAAGGAAGAATAATGAGGGCACAATCGCAGAATATTAATGCAATATTGGCACAAGCATAACTCACAATTGGGACACTTCTGGTTTGCACGTTGAACCGGTGCGCCACCGTTGCCACCGTTTTCGCATCCTCAATATCGATGACTAAAGTGAAGAAATGCGTGATTCCATTGCAACATTTACAAACTTTAATGATTTTCTATCTTTTTAGAGGGAAATGAGGCGAGATATCTCGTAGATATCGTAAGTAAATATCGTTAATTTTATGAAAAAAAACAACTCACAGAAAATTTCAAAAGTAACTGGCGGTTAGTTTTCTGAGGAAAACTTGCAACAACGTTACAATCGGGATTATGCATTTTTCAACTTTTGTCTTCGATATCGCGTCGATGACTTTCTTTCTTCTTGCCGAGGTAAATTTTTGGATTAAGTGTTCTACGTTTATAGTTTACGCCAATTAAATTTACGCACTTTAAGACTACGACAGAATATCTATTACCTTGATTCTTGCATTTATTTTCCATGCTAAACCATTGTCAAACGATGGTCCAATGCAGTTTACAAGTGCATGAACCTATATTGCGTGGACTCAACGTTATAGCGTTGCGGGTAGAGTCCTGTCTAGGTCTTATTGTAACCATAATGCATTAATCATGGACACCAAAATGTTCATGTCGTATATCGTGTTTATAAATGAAATCTCCGTTTAATTTGTTGATAGCTAACCATCTCTCACACCGTATTCTGAACAAGTGACACAAGATTGAAGCCATCAATAACATTGATGCAATCATTGGCAGATTCTAATCTCTGAATCCCAATGACCTGTACTTCCTTGCTATGGAAAAACGCCGTATGAACATTCGAGAGTTGCCAAATTTCCTCCGATAAAATGTTCATTTTTAGGAGAGTTGAGAATATTTTCCTAGAAATTTTAAGGTGGTTTTAGATCTGGTCGCAAATCAAATTTTCTAAAATATTCAAAGAATGATGTTCACGGAATTAAAGGCAATGTCTAAATGTTCATACGGCGGTCTTTCGTAGCAGTGTATCGCGCACTGAAAAAAAATTCTCGGCGTTTTTACCAAGGTCCGTTGGTACCTTTACCATCTCACTTTTTTTACCAATTATTGGTAATTTTACCAAGACAGACTGGTAAGCTTACTTAAAAACCGGTATTTTTACTGTTTTTTCAGGTAAGAATACCACTTTTATTGGTAATCAATTCCCGGTAACTTTGCCATTTTATCTCGGTAATTCTACCACAGTCGATAAAAAATATTGGCGTTTTTACGAAGGTCCAGTAAAATTACAGATAAAGTTAATAATTTTACCGAGATTTCTTGGTAAAATTACAAATTCCATAAATGGTAATTTTACCAAGAAAAAACTGGGATCAAATAGAACCCTGAATTTTTGGTAATTTTACCCTTTTCTTAGTAACTACACCGAGATTTTTTTTTCAGTGTAATGTTATTAAAGCTGACTGAAATGGATGATCCGACAACGTTGGCTCAGCCGTCACCAGGGCGAACAATGCACGAGCAACTAGTCACCAACAACGGAACAATGCCGGGCAGAAGCAACTAGTCACCGCTGACCAGCCGGGCCCGGCGGACGGTAACAAAGCCAAAGCAGCCACAATTATGACATACTGCGTGGTTGCGTGGGAGTTATGCATAAAGATACATATGGATGGGTGAATGGGTGGGGGCGAGGAACGAGACGCAAGGGGCGGGGGTGAAAAAGAGGGAAAAGATACAAGCATCTTCGCGATCTGACATAAGTCTGGTGCATTGTGTTTCGGCTCGGAGGCGAGCCACGGTCGTCGCTTCGCTCTGTCGACACAATTCGTCGCTCTCCTCACGAAAGAACGTAACTCCATTTCAATGTTGCCAAATTTTCCCTTGCAAATTGCGTTTTTATCAGGCGAATCTTGGAATTTTTTATCTAAAAATTTCACTGGTTATTCTTCGGATCTCAGGCAAAAATAAGAAAAATTCTGGACAAAGATTTTACGGGTACTTTTTTGTAAGAAATTGAATTTTTTATGTCAATTTGGCAACCCTGGAATGGAGTTACGTTCCTTCGTCCAGAAAAGACGGATTCGAGGCGGGATCCAGTCACGGACTTTTTTTTTTGGAGCAATATCTGAAATCGAGCTTTGCATTGGTGCCCTTGTCTGACGATGCGACCCCGACTCAGTATGGTGGGCACAGCTAAGACGTGAAAAAGCGCAACGAAAGAACCCACAAAACCATGAGTTCCAGTGCATATGAGTGTTTACTGCAGTTGCGTGGCATGAATTGCGATTTATCGATTGTTATGCCATTTAAACCTACGGTAAAGAATCGATTATTAAAGTGTTCGCTGCGAACACCCAGTTTATCGATCCTTTTCCATAGGTTTAAATGGCATAACAATCGATAAATCGCAATTCACGCCACGCCACTGCAGTAAACACTCATATGCACTGGAACTCGTGGTTTTGTTAGTTCTTTCGTTGCGCTTGCTGCGTTACTGAATGCGAAGAGCGGACCTCCAGTTCTCG